TTCAGTAAAATGGTCATAACTTTTGAAGGAAGCGATTCGCACTCAAATCCTTTTAGAATTTTTACTAGGGCAGTATGTAGTATTTATCGACGAAGTTTCATTGAAATCGACGGGGACACCTGAAAAGGTTTCCTTGTACTTTTTTTCTTTAATATTCTTCATAAACTTTCAGTAGGTCATATGTCAACGTCTATATCGTTACCTTCTTAAAGTAATATTCGATTATTAAACAATTCATTGATAGTTCAAACAACCGTTTTTATTCTTTATATTTCGTTTTGCACACGCTGTTTTCATATATTTTATCCACTTCAATCCGGTTATTGAATGCCTAGTTTGACTGAACATATAACCAGTAGCTCGTGATGAGCGTCGAAGAAAGAAATAAGATAAATAATTATTGGTTTGTACTACCCTAGTTTTTTTGTACAATTATTCAACCATTAATTAAAAAAATCTTGGGAAAAATCACGTTGGTTGTTTTCAAAAAATTTTTCCTCGTATGCTCATGTGTATATTTATATTAGTACAAGAGATGATACAGGGTGTCTCATAAGTTGTGGCAGATTTTTTTAAATCTAATTTTTGATGATAATGAATACAAATTAAACTCAAACTTATACATATGACACGGCTTAGCATGTACTTTTATTTCATATATTTTATTTGGATTAGATCATTGAATATACAAGAAAATAAACAAATTCAATGAACATACCCTCCATTGACAAATATCAAAAGTCTGCATTTTTTCGCTACTTTCTTAGTTTTTTCTCCAATTACTATTCCTATGGGAGTAAGTTTTTACAAAAGAAATCACACATTCTGATAGCACTTGAAATGCTCTATGATATTATGTATTAATACAGTGTCTTAAATTTAAGTAGCGAAAAAAATGCAAATTTTTTGGGCTAGTCGATTCGGAGTATATTCATTGTATTCAATTTTATTTCAATCTATAAACGCAAGAAAATAAGTAAATAGACAGGGTGATAGAGAATTTTAAGCTCTAACAGAATCTATAGTTACTTTTTCATACAGATCATTCTATACGGATGAAAAATTTTTAAAACTAGTTTTGATGACGAAGGAAAGATCAAGTCTGGGAATCTGGACATGAGGGTGCCTTCGTTGTCTTCAATTTATTTTGGTAATGAAAAGGTCAAAACTAAAACCTAATTCTACAGAATGATAGAAAACTCCGCGAGCTTTCAGAATATGTAATTAGTTTTAAAATAACTTATTTTTATAGTGACAATATATGAGAAATACAGAGTGAAACTTTTGTCGGGGTATATATATTGTAACACATTGATGGTGTGCTTATTTTGCACATGTACCAATTTCTTTATTTTTTTGTATATCCAATGATTAAATTCAAATAAAATATATGAAATAAAAGTACATGTTAAGTTGTATGATACGTGTAAGTTTGAGTTTGATTTGTATTCATTATCATCAAAAATTAGATTTAAAAAAATCTGCCACAACTTATGAGACACCCTGTATTATCCGATAATATGTCACTTGAAAGATTAACATCAATACTCAAGACTCATTTAAAAAAAATATTTGGTTATAAATTATGTCTTGTCTGCATTTTGTGCGTCTTAAGATTTTTGCTATGTTTCTAATGTTGAGAAGATGCGTTTTGGTTTTAGAAATTATTGTAATAAGTGACTCACTAAAGTGAAAATAATGAATACAAGATATGCTGACGAAGTTTCAGTAAGGTAGCTTCGAACTTTATTGAATATTGTGTATGTGAGATGAAGTTTTTGTCTGTCGAACACTTCTCTTCTTACTTTTGCAGTATAGCTAAATTTAATATTTCGTATCTTTCTCCTATCAACTTCTATTTTTTGTTTTTCTTTTTTTTTAAATTTACTCAGCTACGCAGACTGTAAAAAAGCGCTACCCATAACAACAGTAAAACATTTAACATAAACAGAAGACGCTGAATGATTACAAACAAGAAAAAGAAATGCATATTTTGAAAAAAAAAAATCTCAAAAATGAGTCCACACACATTAATACTCATTTGTGTATGATGTAACGTGGTTGGCAGTTTTGAAAAGAAAAAGCTTGAATTATTTGCTACTTAATGTTTGGAAAAATCATTAGTTCCACACGATAATCCAATATGAACATAAAAATTGAGCTTGAACGTACACTATTTTATATTCTAGAGAGTATAATCTAGATCTCATTGAAGACGCTACGTCAGTTATCGAAGAATAAGAAAGGTTTTTTAATACATGTAACACGTCAGATATATCCTGAAGTTTTCTTTTGATAATGTTTCAAAATCAAAAGAGGCGGCTAATACAGATGAAATTGCCATTAAAATACAACACGAACGATTTTTTTTATAAGTCAATCCGATTCACATAAATAAGTGTACACAATCAGTTTGAAATTTTTTTATTGAACAAAAAATTGCACATCCTCGCAATAATTCAATAGAAAGAAGTTGATTCTTTCATTACTGATACAGGAAAGTGTCTATCGTTCATATGCATCAATATTGTCGATATTGTTGTAAATTATGAGAGTATGAATAAAATTGAGAGTGAATGTAGATGAGACTTTTTTTTCCTCACTCATATTCTCACCTAACCAACCTCACTGCTACTCTTATGACAAGTCATACAGTCACTATAATTTAAAAATAAAACCTATTTTTTGAATTGGTCGCAAAAAATCTTCTAAACTATACATAATGTTGCTCGATAATCGAATTGTTCCAGTTTTAATGTCAGTAGGCCGTCTTCGTCTATTAATTTAATCCATCAATCAGAACTCAAAAGTTGTCACCACAATGTAGTCAGTGTGCTTAAGTTTAGCACATTTCATGAAACGAGTTGTCGGCTCTGTCTTTTTTCATTAATCAATACGTCAATCAACTTCGAAATTTGTTATCAAGGGATTTATTGTTCTGGTTATATACTTCGTCAAAAAAATTCTTAAAAGTCATTTTCTTCATTTTTATCTTGTAATGTTAATTTTGATATAATTTGTAAGGTATACTATGTC